GTTCTACTTGGCGATTCTTACGTAAGTGATTACAAACGATTTAATTGATCAAATTAAGATCTGTAAAAGCCGGAAGAATCGTAATAGAACAAAGTATATTTTGGTAAATTAAAAACACAAAAATTATCACTAAATGAAGCGTAAAGTAAATTGAAAGTAAGAAAACAAAGTTCTAGCGTCATGACGGCGATGTGTCGGTGATGCACCAGAATCCTGGGCATTTGAGAGGATTGTTGTGTTGTGTCTACAGCCTCGAAGGCTCTCCTTTGGACAAAGACAACGTGGGCAATCTCTAGATCTTCTCGTGAAGTCTAGAGATCAATGAAGTGAGTCGTCGAATCATCTCCGGTGGCTGTCACCCAGCGGAGAAGAAAAATAGCGACTTTGCGGCTCATCGGCGGCTGTCACCCGACGGAGAGGAGCTGGATGGAGGTGGGGCGTGTGTTAGGGAGCTTCATCCTCAGGTCCGCACAACAAGAGGAGGCTCTTCATCGTATCTAGTACGCTCTCAAGAGGTGGCAACTCGTCTCCCAGCAGATTGTCCTCTTCCCGACGACAGCTTGTTCGTTGATCAATCAGAGATGATTTACTCGATGGATTCGCGATCCTTTTATCGCGAATCATTCAACAATTTTAGTAGTAATGCTTTGCGAATCACGTTGACGAGATTTTCGCTAATGATCCAGCGATTCTCGTTGCTTAATCCTTCACTAGTGATTTGTAAGAAAGTTGCGATAATTAGATAAAAATATATGAATTTTGACTCTAGGAGGATTCAAACCCTCGCCAGTCGCCCGCCTCTGAGGAAGGTGTCATGTGGGTTTAGTCTCAAATCGGTTGTGCACCAATTTTTCGGGCGAATATATAGTAATGTTAGCTTTATAAGCAAAGTCACTACACTCGCGTGTACGATCGTTCGCGTGGAAGGGGAGTGGTGCACACGTGCCCCTATCAGTCCAAGCCAAGCCACTTGAGCCCCTTCTCGCGGCTACTCCCCGACTGCACTTCTGACCCACTTACAGGCCCGGCTGGCCGGTGGGTCCCCCCATTTTGTAATATTTTTTATTTCTTATTCTTCATTTATCTCAAAATTATAAAAATTGTATAAAATCATATAATTACCCAAAAATTCACGTTAATCAATTGAAAACCACAAATCATACTTTAACACAAATATAAGTCTATTTATCATGAGTTAAGGCTAAAACTATATTATTTACTAATTATTAACTCATGATAATGAAGACTTATCAGATTACAAATAATTTAATTGACCAAATTAAGATTTGTAAAAATTGGTAAAATTTTAATTGAACAAAGAATAGTTTGGTAAATTTAAATCACACAAGTTATCACTCAATGAAGTAAAAATTAAGTTAAAAGCATAAAAATAGAGTTCCAATGTTGTAGTGACGATGTGTCAAGAATACATCAAAATCTTCAGTGTTTGAGAGGATTGTTATGTAATATCCATGGCCTTGAAGGCTCTTTTTAGACAAGGTTGACGTGGACAATGTCTAGATCTTCTTGTAAAATCTAGAGATCAATGAAATGGGTCATCAAATCATCTCTAGTGGTTGTCACCCAGCAAAATATAAAAATGGCAACTTTGTAGCTCTCTAGTAGCTGTCATCCAATAGAGAGTTAGATGGACGTGAGGCACATGTCAAAGAGCTTCATCCTCAGGTCCGCACAGTAAGAGAAGACTCTTTATCACATTCAATATGCTCTCAAGAGGTGGCAACTTGTTTTCTGATAGATTGTCCTTTTCTTAATGATGACTTGTTCATTGATCAATTAGAAATGATTTACTCAATGAATTCAATAATCCTTTTATTGCAAATTATTTAATAATTTTAATAACAATACTCTACGAATTGTGTCAACAAGATTTTCACCGATGATTGAGCGATTCTAGTGACTTAATTCTTCACCGACAATTTACAAGAAAGTTTGGCTTTGGTAGGATTTGAACCTATGTTAGTCGCTTGCCTATATGAGAGAGAGGAAAATAAGTTCTCAAATACCCTTATAAAGTGACATCATCATGATATATCTCTATTATAACTAAGAGGTATTTTAGGTATTAAAATAAATAAAACTATTATGGGGAAAGTGTGATGCAGGTTTAGTCTCACATTAGTTGTAAGTTAAAGTTTTGGAAGAATATATAGTAATATTAGATTTAGAAGTAATGAGTCCCTTTCTTGCATGTATGACCACTCTTTGCCCCACAACCAGCTGGCCACCGGTGGTGTGGAAGGAGAGTGGCATACATGTGCCCCCATCAGTCCATAGCCACTCGAGCCCTTGCTCGTGACTCCCCCCAGACTGCGCTTTTAACCCACTTACACGTTCGATTAGATGACGGGTTCCCCTCTTTTTCTATATTTTTATTTAATTTCTTTTTCTTCATTTATCTCAAAAATAGGATTATAAAAATCATATAAATTCATATAAAATCACATAATTAACTAAAAAATTACATTAATTAATTGAAAACTATTTTTTATAATTTAATATAAATATAAGTCTATTTTTATAAGTTTATAAAATTATATTATTTATTAATTATTAACTCATTATAATGAAGACTTATCAAAGCTCCCTAACATGCACCCCACCTCCATCTAGCTCTTCTCCATCAAGTGACAATCGTCGGAGAGCCGCAAAGTCACCATCTTTCTTCTTTACCAAGTAATAGTCATCAGAGACAATTCGATGGCCCATTTTATTGATCTCTAGACTTTGCAAGAAGATCTAAAGATTGTTCATGTCGTTCTTGTCTAAGGAGAGCCTTTGAGGCTGTGAACACTACACGACAATCCTCCTAAACACTCAGGATTTCAATGCATCATCAATACATCACTACTGCAACATTAAAACTCTATTTTATCATTTTTTTAACTAATTTAACTTCCGCCATTATTTTTTAGACTTCAAAAAGAGATTCAGCAAATGCTTAGGTTGTCCATGTCCAAAGAGAGCCTTTGAGGTTGTGGACATCATTCGATAACCTTCTCGAACACAAAAAATTCCGATGATCACTATCACGAGGTCGAAACTCTGCCTTTCTTACTTTTGACTTAATTTTCACTTTATTTAGTGAGAATTTGTGTGATTTAAATTTACCACTATTCTTCATTTTAAATTTACCACTAATATGCGACATCCCATATTAGTCACGATATTACCCCGTTATAGGTCAGATCACACCCCGATCCTCATACTCCCTAAACAGAGTATGAGCACCCACAGACCCCCCTTCAGATTTCAAACCATGTGGCTCCAACATGAAAACTTTCAGAGTTTCGTACGGAATCACTGGTACGGACAGATCTCAGATTCTCCTATGGAGAACCTTAGCTATAGGTTAAGGAATCTCAAACTCCACCTTAAATGGTGGAACCGACATATCTATGGGAATGTCCATACCCAAGTTGATGCACTGCAAAAAGAGTTAGCAGAAGTTGAAAGACTACTGCAAGCTAGATATTCAGATGCTGCTTGGGAAAGGAAGAGTAGAGTGAGTGACCAGCTTGATGAGGTTGTGCGACGACAGGAGTTATTCTATCTCCAGAAATCACGCATCCAGTGGTTACAAGAGGGTGATAGAAACACTCGTTTCTTTCATGCCTCAGTCGCTCATCGCTCACGTTCAGATTATACCTCTCTTTTAGAGACATATGATCATGACCTTTCCCGCATGCAGGAGGCAGGGGTTGAGTACTTTCGTACTCTCTTAACCTCTCAGCCGATTGAGATTTCTGATGATATGCTCACTTCGATCCCGTCATTGGTCACTCACCGTGAGAACTCTCTCATAACAACCATACCCACGGGAGAAGAGATCAAGGAAGTAGTTTTCTCTATGAGCAGACATCGTGCACCCGGGCTAGATGGTTTCTCAGCTGATTTTTACATTTCATGTTGGGATATCATTGGCACTGATCTCATCCAGGCCATCAAGGAAATCTTTCGTCGTAAACTCTTTACACGAAGTTGGAAGGCCACCTTCCTTGCACTTATACCGAAGGTGACTACCCCAACCTCATTTAGAGACTTTCGACCTATCAGTTTGTGTAACGTGTGTTATAAAGTTGTATCTAAGATCGTTACACGTAGATTGAGTAGTTTCCTTGATAGACTTATATCTCCAGAACAATGCAGATTTGTCAAGGGACGGTACATTCACGATAACATCATGCTAGTACATGAACTAGCACAGTCCCTTGGCCATGATTGTCGAGGCTCTAACATCATCATCAAATTAGACATGGAGAAGGCCTTTGATAGGATAGAGTGGAGTTTCCTCATTAAGGTTCTTAGACGCTTTGGGTTCACCGACGACTTCATTGACTTAGTCGATGCATGTGTTAGGGAGAATCATTTCTCTTTATTAGTGAACGGTAGCTCCACACCATTCTTCACGGCCACGAGAGGTCTACGACAGGGCGATCCACTATCACCCACCCTCTTCATCTTAGTTGAAGAAGTCCTCAGTCGATCCCTCACCCGAGCGATCAATCAAGGACTTATCCGACCATACTACTCGAAGAGGGGTTGCCCGATCATCTCACACTCCCTCTTTGCTGATGATGCGATACTCTTCCTCAATGGATGTGAGACATCCATTAGAGGGCTCATGAGTATTATCTCGAGGTATGAGCGAGCTGCAGGTCAACTCGTAAATGCCTCGAAGAGTAGCTTCATAGTAGGCCCTTCTACCCCCATAGGGACCATACGACGCATCCAGGGCCTAACGGGGTTCTCTCGTGGACACTTACCTTTTGACTATCTAGGATGTCCTATCTTCCTCGGTCGTAGGCGCATACACTATTTTGACGCCCTAGTGGGCAAGTTAAGGAAGAAACTAGCAGGATGGAAGTTACAACTTTTATCCCCTGGAGGACGGATCCAGTTGATACGCCATGTCCTCATGAGCATACCATTACACCTTTTGGCAGTCCATGAGGTACCAGACACCGTCTTACAGACTATTAGACGGATATGTACGTCCTTCCTTTGGGATGGACAACTTGAGGGACCTCGTTGTCAATGCCGAGTTTCTTGAGAGAAAGCATGTCGACCTACGGATGAGGGTGGCCTAGGTATTAGGCGCCCTCAAGATGTACTTAACATGCTTCAAAAGAAACTCATTTGGAGGATGAGGACCACACCATCGGTGCTAGGTACTTTTGTGTCAGCCAAATATGGTGAGTGGGCTCGACAGCCGGCTGACATCAAAGGAGTCAAACGATGGGCAGACTGGCAGCGACATTGGTTGGAGATGGTGCCTCTTATTTGTTGGCGAGTGGGGCGAGGCGAGATCAGTGCCTGGTACGACACTTGGCTAGAGGACACACCATTGGCCTGTTTTACCACTTTCACATCTTCTTGGCCTCGCTTGACGGTAGCCCAGCTTCTCCAAGGAGACACTCGTCTACTTATTGAGAGGCATGGACTACCGTCGGACTTGTTACCAGCCATCACCATGACTGAGATGAGTTTTACTGAGGACCAACCCATCTGGACACTTACCATAGATGGCAGTTTCTCTTGTAGCTCCTCTTGGCAGCACTTTAGAAACCGCTCCCCAAAGACATTTTGGGGAAATCTCATATGGCATCCGGCCATCACACCTCGTGTTTCGTTCTTCCTGTGGAAGTTCATGCACCGAGGACTACCCACCGACGATCGAGTGATTGTCACCGATCAGGAGGTGGAAAGGAAATGTCATTGTTGCTCTATCACGACAGACGAAAGTATGGAACATTTATTTTTCCATAGTGATATCGCTGTCGAGTGTTGGCATCAACTTCTAGCGAATTGGCTTCCAATGCTCTCGTACAGACCTACGAGACCACCACTAGAGGTCTTTAGGAGAGTCTTTGACTCACCGACGAGTGTCAAGGTTTGTCCTTTCATCCGTATCTCCATAGCATATATGTTATGGGAAATATGGAAGGGACGTAACTCATCTCGATATGCAGGCCAAGTGATGCGTGCCACAGAGATTATGAGGCACGTAACACAATGGCTTCGGAGTACTCATTCCTTAGTGCCAAATAAAACGAAACGCTCGCGTTCTGTTTGTGAGGCTTTTGGGCTTTGGGGACTCCATATCATACCTACACAGACCTGGACTACTGTCCGATCTGTTAGATGGACACCACCGAGGGCTGGACAGTGGAAACTCAACGTCGACGGAGCATCTCAAGGCAACCCAGGATCATCTGCAGGAGGCGGTATCTTACGCGATAGTACAGGATGCATTCTCTTTGCCTTTTCGAACTTTTATAATATACAAACTAATACTGTGGCAGAGGCTATGGCAATACGGGATGGTTTATTTCTTTGTGAGGAGCAAAATATTACTAACATTGTCTTAGAATCTGATTCCAAAGTGTTAGTGGACATGTTACGTGCAGACTCTTGTCCTCATTGGAGGCTCAAGAATATCTGGGCAGACATCATGCGATGTCGAGGACGCATCACAACTATTACGCATCAATTCCGAGAAGGGAATCAGACAGCTGACGCCCTTGCTGCGCATGGAGTCAGATCGCGTCGGAGGACAGTCTTCTCTTTTTGGCAGGACATGCCCCTGGAAGCCCGAGGTGCTCATAGACTTGAGCGACTCGGCATACCCTCTTTACGCATACACTGCACTCCACTACCGGCCTCTCCACGATAGTGGCGTATTGCTTGGAGGAGATCAGGGGTGGTTACTATTGGCCGCTGAAGACCACAATGGAGATACAAGTACGTGTTTCTTTTGTCTCTATTTTCAGGTCTATCACAAGCCACAACCATGACATCACCATGGCGCTCATCCCATACCACCGATGTGGAATGCACTTTGCCTATGCACAACACGGACAACAAGGCACATCGTAATCTACTCGGGTACATTACTTTCAATCATTACTCTCCTCATAATCACATCACATCTACTATTTATCATGCTCAAGTAGTGAGGACATAGAACTATCAGCATATGTTGGCATCGGCCCACTTTTGAACTATAGGTCTATAGCACATCAGACCTGCCAAACTAGTTGTGAATCGGCAACCTAGCACTTCTCTCAAGATCTTATTAGTATCATCAGCCAGCTTGAACCCATGAGAAGGTAAAGATCTATATCCATAGGATTGACCCTCTCTCCTCTCTCTCTCTCTCGATTCTCTATTTCTTTCTCCCTCCCTTTCTCTCTCTAGAAAAAAAAAAAAAAAAAAAAAACCTACTTCTTTTCCCGGAATCACTAGCCCATCATAGACAATTAGTGGAGGGTGAGGGAAAGGGCCCTAAAACCAAAAAACAAAAAAAAAAAAAAAAAAAGAAAAAAAAGGCAACCTTTTTCCCTTCCCTTAATTACTAGCCTAATGTACACCAAATAATGGGCATTAGTGGAGGGTAAAAGAAGAGGCCCTCAAGGAGAGAGAAAGAAGAGAGAGAGAATAAGGGAAAAGAAAAGAGTTAGAACCAAAGACCAAGTCATTCCTCGTGGGGTGAAAGGTCCCTTACCTACTTAGAGGAAGTACGGCAACTGATGATACTAACAAGATCTTGGCCAGAGGGATTAGGCGCGTGCAACACTAGCAAGGTAAGTTCATATTTGGGCTTATTGTCATGCTTCAGCATAGTTCTATCCTCCTCACTGCCCTAATCACTCTTTTCTCACCACTTTATATCAATTTATTTATCTCTTAGAACCACTTACTGCAGCAAACTCTTGTCTTGCAGGAACATTACATGGCGCACAACATGGAGCTCTCGTCTTACTCCTGTTGAGCAGATCTTCTAACTTTCATGAACTCAAAGGCTTTTTCAACCCAATGCAAATCAATCACCTTCCTCAAATATGATGAACGCCATGGAGTCTATCTCTAGTATCATCACATCCCCTCTTCAAAAGAGGTCTTTCATTCTTCATGTCATCCTTGCCCCTTGTGCGAATGAGATCCCACTTATGTAACCTCGGAATGAGGTCAAACTTTTATCACTCAATCAAATTTCTTCTTCTTAAAAAATAAAAATAAAAAATAAAAATAATAATAATAAAAATTATGATTCTTTTGACTTTTACAAATCTTAATTTGATCAATTAAATCTTCTGTAAATGTTTACATAAGAATTGTCAGGTAGAAACTAAGTTTTGTCTTATTTGTGTTCATTAGATGCTGATGTCATCATGACGTCCGCACCCTTTATTTTATTTTTTATGAATTTTAAATATATTTTATTTTTATTTCTTAATCTAAAATTTAGAAAAAATTATATTATTTGAGAAAAAATCTGAAATATTACCAGATATTATATTTACATCCTAGTGATCAACTTAAACTTTTTTCACTATTTTTGAAACTTTTATTGATTTATAATTGATATATTTGTTTATAAATACTTCTAAATATCTAAAAATTGATATTTTCTAGTTTTATAAATTTTAAATTTATGTGATTTATTATACAATGACTAAGTCATGTCAAATTTTGGCTCTATTGTTGGGGATGTATTACATAATATTTGCTATTCTTTTATTTTTCTCTTAGAGTACACAAAAAAGTTAACTCATGTTTTTATTTCCTTCTTGTGGAAAAAAAATAGAGAAAAAGAGAGAACAAAGATTAGAAAGGCAAGGACTAGAGCAAACTGAAGGAGGGTAACAATTATTAAACTTTTTTCTCAAATTTATTGATTTTTATACATGGTAGAAGATCCTTACACCCAAGGTCAAAAAATTCTTACACAATCTCACCTAAAATTAAACATTCGAAGGAAAAATCAATTTTGATGGATCTTGAAGGTAGTACAAATCAAATTAAGAATAACCCTATGGCCATGAACAATTATTATATTCTTGATTTATATCAACGAGCATCTAAGATTAGAGTCCCATTAGTATCCACTGTTAAATTTGAAATAAATTCAGAAATTTTCTAAATGCTTCCTAATTTTCATGGATTACCTTTAGAGGAATCTCATTAGAATTTAAAACAAATTTCATATGATCTATGATTTAGTTAATCTCCCTCAAGTTACACCGGAAATTATTAAGATGAAATTATTTCCTCACATATTTATGGATAAGACTAGTTATTAGTTATCTACAGTAGATATATAATTAACTAGTTGGAAAGATATAGAACAGGCGTTTCTTCAAAAATTTTATCCCTTAAAAAAACTCAAAATATGAGAAAATATATATGAAGTTTTACTCAAAGGTTAGGAAAAATTTTGTATGAGACATGAGAAAAATTTAAAAATTTACTTAGAAAGTATCCTCATCATGCTATACTCAAGTGGCGACTCAATAGAACTTTTTATAGTGTATTATTAGAACAACATAGAAATATGATTAATTCTTGTTAAATTAAGATTTATGTGTTTAATTAGTTTTATTATTTGATTTTATTTTTTAAACTTAAAAAATAAATATAAGATATATTATTAATTTTAAAAGCTTGAAGGTAAAATACTTAGCATAATTTTTGATTATTAAAATAAATAGAATAGAATATAAAATATCTTCTATTTGTTGGCAAGTCAGCACTTGGCAGCTGACCTAGAGGGGGGACAATGGTCAAGTGGATTGACCTAGACTAGGGGAGCCACGAGTTGGGCTTGAGTGGCGAAGGTCTTGCTCCGCACACATGTGTGTCACTCCCCTTCCACATCCCAGTGGCCGACTGCTCATAGGGCAAGGAGCACCCGTACACATGTGCATGCGTGAGGGCAGACCACCTTATTGCCTTCTCTCAAGATGGTTTTGGGTATTATTTTACTTCAAGAAGGGATCTCTGATGAGAGAAGATAGCTTTGACTTATATTTGGCTCATGCGGTGAAATATTTTTGATGTGGGACTAAACTTTTCCTCTATTTTAGTGCAACCATTTAGAGCACAATGTGATCTAGCAGTACGTAGTGAGCCACGTCATTAGATTAGCTAGATCATGTGGCTGGTGAATTGAAACAATACTAGATGTGAAAAGTGATCCATCGGCGGTTTGCGAATCTAATGCCCCTCAACATGCACGTGGCCTTAAAGGATGATTCGACAGCTGAGGCACTACAGTACAAGGAACTTAAGTTCCTGATTGGCAATGATTTGCGATGGGTTGATCTTGCATCACTCAAGGTGCCACATGACCAAGCTCATTTGATCTAGCAGCTTCCAAAGTGCCACAATATTGGGAACTTATGCTCTCACACGTATCACTATCAAGGATATAAAGATAATAATCAATTATTATTTAGTAAAATAGACACTATCGATTATCTTTAAAATCTCGACAATAGTCACGAATACAATAATTCGTTCTTCCCTCTTTTTACGTGATCGACATCTTCGACAATCGACAAGCTTGTTCCTTCCTCCTCTGACTATACTCAAGGCCTTTGATGAGTGGTCAACTTTTCCCTTCTCCTCTTAGGCGATGGTGACAGTGTGGTCGATTGCTCTTTTGGCGGATCTCTCTAATAAGCTGTGTAGTGCTTCTAGATGATACTATTGTGACTTCTGACATGGTGTGGGACGTCTAGATGAAACCAAGCTGCCACACTAGTGTCTCCTGTTGCCCAAGAGGCAGACTAAACTTGCACAATGATTTAGTTCTTATTTTCAATATTTACATACCTACTTTTGTCATTTATTTACATTTTACAGCAAGTTTTTCCCATTTAATACATGTTTCGATTGAAATGAGTAGAAGTAATTCTAAAGTTGATGAATAATCTTCTTTCTTCTTCTGAATCCTCCAAAACTCGTCTTAGATTAAGCTAAGATCACTTTCAACTTATTTTCTATTGATTTTTGCAGTCGAATCTCGACATATTTATATTCTTAGCATTTTGTGAATAATGAGTATTTTTTTCTTTTCAAAACACACGAAATCACCGAGATTAAAGACTGATTAATGAGCGTTCAACTGTTAAAATAAGCTAGAGACATTCACGACTGATCTCATGTTATGTGTGTGAATCCTCAAGCACACATTCATCCAAGAAAAATAGTTGACCATATTTCCCCTTTCTTCACTCTCGTCTTGTTTCTCTCTCTCCCTCTCCCATGAGACCTCTCTTCTCTCCATCTCTTATGAGATCTCTTCCTTTCTCTCCCTCTCTCTCGATCGATCTCCTTCTCTTTCTCTCTCTTGATCGATCTTCTCCTCTCTCCTTCTCTCTCTCTCACATGAGACTTTTCTCTCTTTCTATCTCACGTGAGAGCTTTCTCTCCTCCTCTCTTTCTCTCCCTTTCGCGAGAGATCTCAT